GTTTGCTGATGGCTCCGTATCTCTTAGCGTGGTCTTCCGAGGGTGTGCTGAGCACCACAATGTTCTGTTTGTAGCTGAGGCACATGCTATCCTCTTAGGCTGCTTTGTGGCCTGTCTCCGCCACGTAGCACAGGTAGCAGTGGATTTGGTCCGTCTTGTAGTCGAAGGCGTTGAAGCCAGCCAGTTCGAGGGCGCACGATGACTTTATAGTGGTTCGTTGGTAGATATGGCATCCTGCTGACCTTGACCATCTTGCAATCTTGGCGGGTGCTCTTTCTATTCTACGTCGCCACGGTCCCGGAAGCCGTTGAGATTTCTGTGGTTAATGAAGTAGCCGTCTGCTGCTGCTCTTTCTGAAGCTTTTTGCTGTGTCTTTTGATTTTACACCATTCCCGTGCCCTCGCGGAACTCGTCCGGATCCAACTCCTGTACGACTTGTACAACTTCTATTTAAACTTAAGTGGGCCTCGGACGTCTCTTATGAATAGCGGGGGTATGCGAGAAAATCTTCAGACACGCCAAGACTAGCCCATGCCAAGACTAGCCCGCCCTACCGCCAAAGCGGCCGGGCCATGGTCTCTCGTGTGTGTTCGAGTTAGGCTTCTGTTCGCCACTAACGTGGCGGTAGATAACACCAAAAAATGAATTGAAAATAGGCCCATCTGCAGAACTGTAATACCGGAAAAGTTCTCGCAACTTCCGTCGATGACTTGTGAGACAGATTTCACGAAACATTCGTAAATCCACCAAAACGACGTACAATAATCATAAAGCAATGCCATACGCTTATGCGCTTAAGTGGCCCCCAAGCATGACAATAAATTTTATTGTTGAATATCATGCTAATACGCGAAAAAGAAACTCAAACAAGTTTTGCTGAACAAATTGTCAGTACGCTACCAGATGCCAGCAAGCATGCATGATTCATGGTAAGCATTAACAGACAAACTACATTATATCCGTACCAAGGCTCCTCACAAGTGAATTGTAGTCCCATTCCTTCATTTTTTAAGCACGTTTACAATATATTCACTTGTTTGTGCAGCGTTTGACATGCCAAATAAGAACAAAGGTTCATTTGTATAGGTACCATATTGAAAAAAACCAGCGCCACTGCGTACCAGCGTCTAGCGCCAAGCCTTAGTATGGGCACGGTATCTCACTGGTACTGGGACACTGGAACGCCAGCGTCCCAATACCAGGCCTGAGAGGTGTTGGGTACTTTGCGCAAATTGACTTCGCATGGTTCAAATGGGGGTGCCCATTCGCCAAAAATAAATAAAATTTAGCAGTAGAAGAAGCGATATTGCGCACATTCAGATAAAAAATAACAGAAAAAAAATGCCCAACGTTAGTATTTCAACTTGTAACCTTCGATTTCGAATCCAAGTATTTTACCCGCTAGGCGTTGCCAGAACAGGTTGGTTGGCTCGTGAAATGACTATGTGTCCTAAGAAAACGCCATTGGACTTCATTTTCACAAAACGCGCAGTATAGATATACACGATATTCCTTTCCAAACAACAATTGCGTCTTCATTGGACAGTAACGAGCGGCTTTTGGGCACCAAATGACGTGCGTATATTCGAAAGAGCGAGAATACTTTCAAATAATCCAAATCCTAACTATGAAAAATTTCAAGTTGACTTCAGGAGCAGCCACCGAATGTCGGCTGTTGCTGCTGACATATTTTTTCTTTGATAGTCACTTGTCGCAGTTATTTGAGGCCAACATGTACAGATTATTCATAACAAATTGTTCGGTACCTATGTGCGCACACGATTGAATATTGAGTATTTTTCTAGCGCAATCGACAATATAGCAGTATACAGCTGGCGTGCCAGTGTACAGATTTAGGTTTATTCTGATACTTCCAACTTAGAAACCGCCGAAGAATATACTAATGTATTCCGCTAAAGAGTTACGCCAGGGTGTTAGTTCAATAAGGCCTACCAAATTACCAACTTGAAATTGCGTGTTTTTACATACGTTTCAGATGTGAACCGGCTACTGTGTTCAGAAGGAAGGTTTTGATGACAGCCTGCATGCCGAAAGCACGACACATCGACCAACGTGCCTTCCTGTGCGGGCAGCGCACATGAAGAGAAATGGTTGATTTACGCTCAGAGATGTCCTAGCTCTACTTTTCAGTCATTCTTAAACTTCACAATTCTGACTAAGTAATTCAAGAAGCACTGGTAGAATTTAAATTGGCACAATAAGCCTAATTCTCGTTGGGACGGGGCTCTGGGTAAGGCCACTCTGGACGCAGCTCAGTTTCAATGCTTGAAGTTTCTGCAACATTTCTAGCTTTCACCTAAACTGTACCGAAAGTAAGTAGAAGTTCAATCATTGCTAGGCATGCATTTCCGCAGTGCCGATATCGAGTGACAGCTGATTTACTGGCCTCCACTGGCGGTACACAGCAGGCGTGCCAGTGTACGGATTTGCACTTGTAAAAATACCAACAACTAAAAAAACGCCCAAATAAGTACTAATGCCATCCGCTGAAAGCGTATGCCACGAAGTCAGCTAACGAAGGCGTACCAAATTACCAACTTGAAATTGCGTGTTCTTAAAAGTATGTCAGAGAGGTAGCGGCTAAGTGCAGCCAGCAGCTTTCGGTAACAGCCTGCGTAGCTAGAAGCGCGACGGATTGATCGTCAGCGCTCCTTGTGCGGACATTAACACAAGGCAAAATAGTTGATATGGGTACATGAATGTCTTAACTGTACTTTAGAGTTATTCGCACACATTAAAATTTTGGGTACAGGAAGCAAAAAGCGCCGGTAACATATCCATCAGCACCACCGGCACGATAGGCCTAATCCTCGCTAGGCCGGGCACTGGGTAGCACTGGGTAAGACCGCCCTCGGTGCGGTGATTGGGGATGGTCGATGTTTCTGCATTTGAGCTTCAGAACATTTTTAACTGTTACCTGAATTAAGTAAAAGGATAAGCATGGCTAGGTCTTAATTTACGGTGGGGCGGAATCGAACGACAGCGGTTTCGCCTCCGATGGGAAACTTTACTAAGCGATCGAGAGAGCTTATTCACATTTCATGAACTTGGCGATATAAACAATTTCTTGTTTTCGTTGGGGGTGGCGTACAGCTTCAGGCCTATAAGCACTGCAACATGGAATCGTGACAGCAATACACGACTTAAGCGCATATGGCTGGTGTACGCGGGCCGCGCATAATTGCTGCGATACATACGTGCCTCGCAAAAATTACGTATGCTTGTGTTCTGTTAAGATAGCATATATCCATGCCATTGCATCAAACGTTTATGTTCAATGACACCGAAACGTACCACGGCACACGCTACATAAATGTGGACGCTGCACTAGTAGGAACAGTGCGTGCTCCAGTATTCAGCAGCGCTTGCCAGTTAAAATTCTAGTACTTCCAACGCTTGCTAGTGTGCACCAATATTACAGCAGTTAGGCCAGCGTCCCTACCAGTGTGACACATTCATTCCCCATTGCGCCCAGTTAAGTATTAGTAAATACTAGCGTGTACTAGTTTCTTCAGCGTGTACCAGTGCCAATAACGTACTTGCATTACGCTGGGTATGTGGTTTTTTTTTTGCAATTGGGTAGCTACATATTATAACAAAACTCTGCAGTTTTGTGTTACCAGCTCAATAAAATTTCCTGAGCTGCTTGTGAACAAGTGATCGTTGACCTAAGCTAAAGCCTGTGTTCACGCGATTCTGTGTTCTGTGTCGCGATACTTTGTTTTGACAACATGCATCCGCATGCTCATCTCGCTTCACTGCTACATCTGATATACATCCGCTTGGTAATACTTACACTGAGCGCCCTATTATTCTATTTTGGATATGTGTAGTACATGCGATGCAATAACAGTGAAAGCACGGTAATGCTTCCTTTTGATTTCATGCTTACACAGCTTCAGCGATCACTGGGCGATCGTACAGCTGGCTCACGAAACACACACGCTTTTCCTATAGTGCTCATATGCTTGCGCGGCATACTGGTCTAACTTAAAAACGTCCATCGTCATGCTGTTGGAATGAATTCTGTACCCATGTATGCATCAGAAAGAAACTTCAAATCCAACAAGGGACACATTTTTTTTTGCAGTGGTAGGGTATAGGGACGTTGTTAACAATATCAACATTACCGAAGCCCGTGTGGTCAATTGTGCCCGTTTTTGCCATCCCAAACCGCATAGTGACCACCACACACTTCTGCAATCAGATCTACGACGGGCACTGGCTTGCGAAAAGCCTTCTTTACAACCGCAGAGTCACTTACCAATCATCCAACATTGTGCACTTGGTCAGTAAAACTTACAATCGTTAACTTTTGGAGTTTGTACGCGAGAAATGTGTACTGGTGTGTTTTGCCGCCACTATTGATTATGCATAGTAGCAAGCATTTGCAATAAAATTTCAGTAACGAATGGCGCCTGTGCCATTTTTCGTATAAGCTCACTACCCACTAAGACAATATGAAAGCCTACGCAGATCTTGTTGATGTTTTCACCGCCGCTAATGATGAATGTATTTGCTTGTAATGTGTGGGCTTTTAAACCCTCCTGTAGTTGTGCAATTCTCATATGTTGACGTATTGTCCAAATAAACGCTTCCATCACACAACATAACATAGCTATCTATGTTACGTTGACAAAACAGAAAGTTGACTACGTTAACATAGTTAACTTAGGTAACTATGTTATGTTGCGTAACTGCCAGTATGACGCCCGTAAAGCTTTTTAACGGCAGTTCTATTGAATGATTTCGCTCCAACATAAAAGCTGCACATCCTGCGCTCGAGTCCTGTGTTCACTCACGACTTGAATGGAAGCTTTTTCATAATGCAGTTATCTCGACTCTCCCTTCCTACCATAAATGCTGGCATTTGTGCGAAACGCACTCTTCAACGATACCGCGACAACAAATAGTGACGCTCGTGGATTTGCGAAAAATTTCAAGTTATGTGTAAGTCATTAACAACGCTACAGACGTACCATTGGCTGGGTGTTCATAGCTAAGTAATAAGCAATTACTCTGTGCCTCTTGAACAACGTAGCTGTGAGGAAGTATATATGGTGCGTCACCCGTAGGTTGAACTGAAAAGAAAAAGTGTGTTAACATTAGCTTTATTTGCTATCCAGACATCGATTTGCAGAACTCTCACTTTCAAAACTGGCAGCAGCAGGAACACTCTGTACAATGCCATTAAACCGCATCAAGTATAGTTTGTGGCAAGATCATGAGTGTTAACCTTTACCAATATAGCTAAAGTCTTGGCTGGTGTTTATCGCCAAGCTTACTGAACTCTAACGACTAACACAGTGATATTTGTCTCAATCGTCATAAAGACGAAAGCTTAATGTACACAAACTCGAAACAAGCGGTGTCGGCAATTCCTGAAGCCTCATTTGTTTAGTTTCTGGTTTTATACAATAGTGTTTCTCGTGTTTTTTTTTCTGCGTAAAACGCCGCAATTCCACCGAGAAAAAAGTCTGCGGTTTATAGTTTTTTCTTCTTGGATATTTGTACATTCTGCAAGTTGTTGCAATTTCGCAGACAATGCAGTGGTTGTTTTTGCACTTTCATCGTAAAACATCTTTCTTGGAGCAAGTGAAAAACAAATGGAATTGGTTACATGGGGCATTATGAGTGACATGTGATGACATATATCCTTGACATATGATGAGACTAGCCACAGTCGCGAAGAAAACTCTCGATACTCGCCAACAACTTCCCGGTGAGTCGTACTTGGTGTACACACGTCACGCGTTCTGCCGGCGTGCCAATGCGCATATGCCAGAGTCGGCCACAGTACGCAAAGTTTTGAACGGTACAGATCCTGTTCTTTTCAATGTTGAATTGCTGGCTGCTCAGAACCTGGCTATTATCATGGACGTTGTCACGACATATGAGCGCCTCGATGCACTAGACTGGGTTCGTCTATAAACTGACATTGGCGACCATCAACCTATGCTCATAGACATCTCCATGACCTCATAAAGGAGATCATACGGGATGAATTTCAGTCTGTGGGTTTATCACCTCCTTCACCGTGATCGACACAGTCTGTTGAAGCAGCCTTGAGCGACGCAGTTAGGAACGAGCGCACATCAACGACCTTCCTTCCACCCGTCGCGTCTTTTTTTTCTTTTCTTTTCTCTATTTGCAAACTGTGAAACACACAGAAACATCACGACAGGCTGTACCCATAGCCGAAGGCTACTTGGGGGTCCAAAAAGTAAATACCTAAGGGTTCCATGTACAAAAAAGATATATCACACGCGTACAGACAGTTATCGTGCATCGTTAATTTGCACGAGTGAAACAAAGAGAGAACGAAAGTATCGGTAAATGCACGGTTGTTTTTAACAGTTCTAACTTACGAAAATACAAATAAACAAAGCAATTTGTTGCATTAATATGAAGGTTAAAACATGCATGGCTAATACCGAAAACAAAAACCTAATATTTTTAAACAATTTCACAAGTTTCTGGCAGACACACATGCATACACACAGACACACACACACAAATGGCATTATAATTGTTTTCATTGATAAACATTGTATTGTGTAAGTAAGTATTTTTGAGAACTGATGAAAAATTATTCGACTGTTTTATTTCGGCTGGTAGTTTATTCCAAATTTTGGCCCTGAAAACTGCAGCAAACGTTGTCCGTAAATATTCTTCGTTGGGGGAAGATTAAAATTTCCATGTTTGATTTCTGTTTACACGAGAGGATGTTCAAAATAAAGAAGCATGAAAAGGCCGGTTGTTTTTGACAACATTGAAAACACACGTGGCAATCTTTATTTCGTGTACCTTATCATAAGGCAAAATATTCATTTCCATAAACAAAGGCATACTCGGCTCATTGTAGCAAGATTGGGGGATTATTCTCAGGGCTCGTTTTTGAAGTTTGCGAAGAGGTTCAAGAAACGTTTTATATGTCGTACCCCATGATTCATTGCAGTATGAGATGTGGCTTTGAATGAGTGAAAAATATAAAGTACACAGAGTATTGGTATCAAGACGATGACGTGCTTGTGAGAGTGCGTAGCATCCCGAGGAGAGCTTTGTACAAACTGTGTTTATTTGCTCTTGCCAGTGCAGATTTTATCAAATATCACGCCAAGATATTTAAATGAGCTGGCTTCGTCAAGTTGAAATTCGTTTAATTGCAAATCTAGTGATATAGGAGGCATGATATTGTTGCGTGATCGAAACACTACATAGGTCTCAACCCATCAGGTCTCGACCCATCAACCCTACGCGCAAGCCGCATTAGCACCTTACCATTACGTAATGAATGATATGTGGGGATTAATGCCCCATAATCATCATTCGATTATTAGACAAGGCGTAGTTGAGGGATCCAGAAAATTCCACCACCTAGGGTTCTTTAACGTGCATCCAAATTTGAGCACATGGGCCTACAGCATTTTCGCTTCATCAAAAACATTGCTGGTGTAACGGGCATTCCATGCCACAAACTGCGGGTCAGCAGCCAATAACCTTTGCCAGTAGACCACCGCGTCGAGGCCAGCGACGCAATTATGACGCTGCTGCTACCAGCGTATGCGTCGGACACTGTCGTGCCCCCGGGCGATTTCTCTTTGATACGGTCTGACCCTTCGCCTGCCAACCTGCATGCACTCCCTCTAAGGGCTGTGTATGCCTGCTATTCGGCCCCTGGAACCCGTCTTGTCCTGTCTGCTATTACTACGGATATCATGGCCACATTTCTCGTTTCTGCTAACAGTGGCAGCAGGACGTGCGTTGGGATTATGACATCATGAACGGCATTCTTCTTATGTTGCCTGTTATCAAGGTCAGCGTCATTTGTCACCTCCAGACCGGTCTCCAGACGCCACATGCCGCTTACCTTAACCCTTTCGCCTCTACTCTTCCCTACTTAGGCTTCCCTCACTCACCACTGACAATATTTTGGAAAAGTAAGTGCTACAATTTCTGGAAGAAAAATGACATTCAGAATTAGGACTGATATTCCTCCACCAGGCTAGTCCAAGGTGTTGTTTTGGCAGTGGAAAGAGTGCACGTCAATTCTGTGGTAGATGCAGGTGCGGCATTTTCTAGCGATGCATGCAGAGTTGGTCCAACGTCGAAAGAATGTTACCCCTTACGAATGTTTCATGTTAGTTACTACCCAGGGGAACAGCACTGGCCCTTTAGCTTTCTGTTTTATCCTTCTTTTGCAGCAAAAGCTGTATATGGCTAGGAGAAGGAGGAGGAAAGAACTTCACTCAGAGTCCGGCGAGCAGGAGGCGTGGGTGAATAGCCCACCTAGGTTATGGCCAAGAGTCCTTGAATCCTGGTGGCTTCTTCGGCCCGCTGGACGGCCCAGATTCAGTCTTCGAGGACGAAGCTGAGCATTGTGGTTTCCCAGCGCACGCGAAAGCTGTCAGCAAAGGCCGCATACTTGTTATGAGCACTAATTCCTCTAGAATCCCATTACATATGCTCCAGAGTGGCTCTGGAGTCACAACGCTTGCACCTGTCCGTTTTGTATATTGTGACGATGGAACGCGTTTATTTACAAGATGGGTAATGCAGAGGTGTAGCTCAGCCAAGGATCCACAGCGTCACTCACGAGCCAGTCGAGTCTCTTCCTCCTCTTCGTAGAATCTTCGCTAGCACGTTTCACTTCCCGGTTCGCAGACGATGCCCTCTGGGTGAGTCACTCAGATGGCTGATGGTGGCACAGTTTAAGGCGCGCAACGTGTGTCAGTTGTGTTTTGCTAGAGCGGCGACCATTGCTTGTGACGCTCGAGATTACGTACGTGACGTCGCTGAGGCGGTCAAGAATGACGAATGGACCGGAATAGTGAGCCAAGAACTTCTGGCACAAACCACGTTTGCGGACTGGTGTCCATAACCACACAAGATCGCCCTTACTATAAGATACGGAGCGATGGCAGGCGTCGTAACGTTTCTTGGAACGCTGCTGGGATGCCAAGGTTCGGAGGCGTACGATGCGATGGGCTTCTTCTGCGCGGCAGAGCGTCTCGGCTGGCGAGGTTTCCACGTCTAGTGTAAAAGGTAGTATAGTGTCGAGACAAAATCGTGGGGAGCGAGCGTACAGCAGGTAAACTGGAGAGTAACCTGTAGTCTCATGCTTCGCGGTATTGTACGCGTACGTGATGTAAAGTAGCACTTCGTCCCACTTTTTGTGCTTAGAATCGACCTAAATAGACAGCATGTTCGTGAGAGTCCGGTTCGTGCGCTCTACGACACCATTGGTCTGCGGGTGATATGGTCTGGCATGGCGGAAATGGCAGGCAGACAGACGCAGGATCTCTTCAACGACGTCGGCAACGAACTGACGTCCGTGGTCGCTAATGACAACGCGTGGAGGACCATGGCGGAGAATTATACAGCGAAGCATAAACTGCGACACGTGCATGGCCGTTGCAGCAGGTATTGCAGCAGTTTCTGCGTAGCGCGTTAGGTGGTCAACACAGACGACGACCCATCGATTGTTACTGCTCGATCGTGGAAATGGACCGAGCAGATCGACACCAACAGTCTCGAAGGGAGAGTTAGGAGGTGGAACAGGATGGAGAAGTCCTGGCGGCGTAGCCGTGGGACGTTTGTGTCGTTGGCATTGTTCGCATCCAGCAACGTATTTTTCCGTGTCGTGTCGCATCTTGGGCCAATAGAACCTTTGCTGGATTCGTTGAAGCGTTCTGGCGAAGCCCATGTGACCGCAGGTTGCGTCGTCGTGTAAGGACCGAAAGACGTGAGCCCGTAAAGTGCGTGGAACAACTAGAAGCAGACGGGCGCCTTGTCCGGAATAATTCTTCTTGTAAAGGACGCCGTCATGAACCACAAAAGAGCTTGGGTTTGCGTGTTCATTTGCGGAGGCGAACAGAGAATCTAAGGAGCGGTCCTCTTGTTGGGCTGTCCGGAAAGTCGCGAGATCAGGGAACTCAGAGGCAATAGTGCCGATATACTGGTCGAAGTTGTCAGCGTCGCACTCAGTCGTCGGTAGAGGAAGGCGCGATAGGCAGTCGGCGTCTGCGTGCCGGTTACCGCTCTTGTAGGGTACTGTGAAGTCTAACTCCTGTAAGCGCAA